GGAGAGAGCCCTTCATAGCCTCATTTCTTTAGGCACTGCAAATCTTAATGGCTTCAGTGAACTTTTACTGAACACAGTCCTGGAAGAAAAAAACACCATAGTCCTTCTTAGCTTCCTTGGTTAACTAAGCCCTACACTCTGCCTGCAGCTAATAGAGGCTTATCTGAAGGATCCTAGACTAGCCAACATGACCCTGTCCAATCTGATTTCTCCCTAGGGGAAGAGTAGAGTAGTTAAGTAAGTACACAAGTGTACAAGACATTCATAAGTGTCAATTCCATCCGAAAGAGATTAGAGAAGGTGGGACAAGTGCACAGGCCATACAGCTGCTTTTCTGGACTGACAACTAGAAGGCAGCTGGGATTCTTGGGGCATCTGAAATGATGCTAGAAGCTTATATTTAGGCAACTGAGTGAAGTTCTCAGCAAGGCCAAGAGGTGCGTTCCATCCAGCAAGGCCAAGAGCTCCTCCAGAAGCTGATGCCTCCTGAAGGCCAGCTAAGAAGTTCTGCAGACTTTGCTGCACAATTTGCTTACGCATGCACCAAGTGTAATAGGAGATCAGTCACCTGACTTACTGAGGCAGACATCAAATTTATGTGTATTCATCTATCTGTTGGTCTTAAAGATTTAGTGAATATTTATTGTGAGTCAAAACGATATCCCAGAAACAGCCCTGAAAATACTGATAAAAGGTCAGTGCCCTGGCACTGACATATTCCAGTGGTTTATTGTGAGGTCAAAGACTCTAAGCTCCAAAAGACCTCGTAAAAGTAACCCCTGCAGTTGAATGTCTATTGCCAGAGACATTAGTTCACTTCTTCAACTGCCAAATTTCTTTTCTACTCAGATCTGTCAGATGTCTGGGTTTGATCTGGACACCCCACTAGAAAGACACATGGCTAATAGCATGTATATCAGGGCTAGATAAATCTGGTAATCCTTCAATTCCAGTTCCGGTACTGGGACTCCTTAGTTCTCGTGAAGAGCCTGAAGACTTGTTACCACTCTTTTATTTCTTACTAGCTACAATAGCCCAGTCCACATCACTGGTGTGGGATTCAGGCTACTAAATTTTGCACTGTGTTTGTCTCTACAAAAGCCAGTAATTCCGATGGCCTTTATGGTCAAAAAACAAAACAGGTGTTGGGTGCTACTCTCCTGTCCTACCGTCGACATCTACTTTAAGGATCAGCCGATTCATACCTTGGAATCCATTGACTGTATTGAGCAATTCTTCAGTGATCAGAGAAGGAACTAGCTCCAGCTGAGACTTGTGAGAAGCTATATAAAGTCAAGTAAGTCCAATGGTCTTTGGAAGAACAGTATCCTGTGCCTAGATCTTTTGCTCCATTTAAGGCACAAATCTCCCATTCCAGTGATAGTCACCTGGTGCTAGGTGTCATGGAGATACACATGACTAAGATGATCCCTCCCCTACAATACCTCACAAAGGGCAGGCTTCACAGCACAAGGAGAATAGTGAATCACTCTGAATAAGCACTCTTAAGGGTAGATGCAGCTGTGCCCACAAAGTTGTTTTTCATGTCTATTAAGAAAAAGAAAATACTCCGCTATAGGGGGAAAGAAACCAGTCCAGTGAAAGTGTTGCTGTGTTGCTGCATTTGTACTTCAGAGCTGGGTGTGTGTCCACAGCAGTGAGGAAAACTCAGAATGAATCCTAGCTCTTTGACCCTGAAATGTGAAGGGCAGGTTGGTTTCACAGCTAACATGGACTGTCCTGACTCATAGAATCATAGAATCATAGACTGGCCTAGGCTGGAAGGGACTTAGAGATCATCTAATCCAACCTCCCTGTCATGGGCAGGGACGCCTCTCAACTAGATCAGGCTACTCAAGGCTCTGTCCAACTTGGCCTTGAACACCTCCAGGGAGGGGGCAGCCACAACATCTCTGGGGAATTTATTCCAAAGTCTTGCTCATAGTTATGGTATTGAGTAGGAACTTACCACACCTAACAAAACTAAACAAAGGATACAGGCAAGCAGCAGGTGAACTCAGGGAAACAATAAGATGATCTTGATCAGACAGATCGGGGGAGGGAAAGAGAAACAGCCTTCAAAGTATTCCTTGGAGACTGCTATCCACTCTCTGCTTCTCTGGAAGCTTTCATCAGGAGATCTTGATTGCCCTGTGGTCTGCCTGGTCCTTCATGTGGAGAAGATAAAGGGAAAGATATGAATTGCCTCCTTATTAGGAATCGGAAAGGAATACTGAGAGGGCAAATGACACCAAATCTACTGAAAACAGTAGAGCCCTTCCAGAAACTTGAAATATATGCCTAGAAAACAGACTGATGGTGACCACCTTGCACAGATCATGTGCCTCAGCTTGTGGCTCCAGAGAAACTAGAACATGAGCTCCAGGACACAGGTATTCCACTTCTTGTTGCTGACCACGAGAGTTTCGTGCCCACTAGAAGGCAACCTACATATTGGTCTTAGGTTGTCTACATGACAACCATGTGCAGAAAAGCTAGAGCTTTAGATTGAGCCTCATGTATCCAATCTCAGACAGGAAGCCCCCAACTGGTCTAAATGACACTCCTTCCAGCAGCTGCCACAAAACAGTCATCCCTGAGGACTTTGCCTGAAATAACCAAGACCCTGCCTTTTTTTCTCAAATCCTGTCCCTTGTAGCCCCTACATATGCTGTGTTCAGAGTTAACACACTTATCTACCTCCATCTTTCTTCCCTGCTTTACATTCTCTGAGAAGACCAAAAAAACAAGCCATCTTCAAAATAACTTTTTTAGTGCTCTTCTGGGGACGGTCTGAAATCTTGCTTTTACAAGGCTGACAGTAGAAATTCAAGCCTGATTTTCCTCACAGTGCTCTAGAGAAAATGAGCTGGGGCTGTCAGGACCTCAGGCATGACACGCTTCAGAAAGCTTGCATGGCAAAACAAATAGCATGGCAGTCACTTCAAAATTAACATGAGCAGTATTCCATTAATGCTGCATGTCCATCACGCTGGCTTGAAAGAGGATCCAGTGCTAGAAGGTCTGAAAACCTTGGCTTCCAACAAATATTAATTGGAAAAAAGATTTTAATTTTTGTGAAAACATACTCCTGGTAGCAACAATAACCTGCAATTTCTGGCAATATCTGCTGCATTGCAAATCCCTTTTTCATCCCAGTCTGGCCTAGAGACAGAGCAAACACAGAGGTACTTAATCCACATCTTTGTGACCCGTAGATATACCTGTCCCTTCACACGCGACAGCTCGGGAGGCTGTGCATTGCTATTGTGATGCCTCTAATGAATAAAAACACTGAACAGACTCTCCTCTCATCGGAAACTTTTGTTTCCCAGCAACTATGTAGATGGTTCTCCTCATTTTGCAGAACTCAGGGCACTGACAGCAGCGAGTGGCAGAGGCAGGCATGTTTCCAGTCATATTTGGGTCTCTTCTGCACTGGGATCTCTCGCGCTGGCTGGCATGCCATGTGGAAGGCTATGTGAAGACTCTTCACCAGTAATCCTCTTTAGTAGAGATGACAGGGCTAACTAACTAGACAGAATCTCCAATCTCCCTTCTCCCTCCTCCCTCAGTTATCTCACTGAGGCACACGAATCCAAATGAGAGAAAAGTTAAAAAAGAAAGATATTTAATTTGTTAATCTAAATGTGCATTCCCTATCAGCCAAGTTGAATGTGATTGAGCTGTTAGGACAGGAGGCCTCCAAAACCAGGACATGCACCAAGACATTCTCCAGCCTTGTGTAGTTTAAGAACTAGAGAGAGATCAATTTAAATCTGGAGATTTAAATCCAGCTGGTGCTGGCAAGTCCTCTAAAACATGTGAAGAAAATTCAGAATAAGCATGCTAAAGTGGAAAGAGAAAATTACTCCAGCACTGGTGAGATACAGGTGGTGGAGAATATATTACTCATTTTTTTTCTTTCTGCTGCCAAAAAGCCCAATGGAGGGAAAAAGTTGAGAGGCATCCCTGCCCATGACAGGGAGGTTGGATTACATGATCTCGAAGGTCCGTTCCAGCCTAGGCCATTCTATTAAAAAAAAAAGAAAGTAATTCTTCTCTATAGAAAAGGAGGGGAAAGGGACAGGGATCCAGTGCAACACCATGAGCTGAGAAGGGAAGATAATTCATCTTCCATTTAAATACTCTCTTAATCAGATTTTATCATGAGGTTGTTCTTTTTGTTGGCTTATTATCAAACAGGTAGTCCTTCCCTGATCTTAGATACAATAACACTCTCAAGATGGGTGTCCTCTTCCTTTCCAGAGTAAAGAAAATGATGTCTGATTTTATTGAAACCAACCCAGAGAAGTGTTTATTATTGAAAATATACAGTATTTCTGAACATCACATAAAAAGCCTAGTAGATACATCTGCTCTAGTTCAAAATGCTCAATAATCTTTGTGCAGCATGTAGCACTATCCTCAAAATGCAAACAACCTCTCCTCATTATTTTTACAGTGCTTCCCTTTTATATTTTCAAACCCGTTATTCTTCCCCACCCCAATCCTCCTGGCTGAAAAACACCCAACGGCTTTCCAAAGGCTACTTACATTGTGTCAAAAGCGTGGGGCTAAGAGGAGTAAAGATATTTTATAGAGCTATTTAGACATATTGCTGTTCTTTTCAAAATGTTGTGTACGAACAGGGCATGATTCTTGCAAGGCAAAGTGCCTCTGTTAACAGTCCAGTGATGCCCTGGACAACTCCCAGTCTCTCAAAGGGAGAAATGGGGAAGGTAGATAAATCCTGATTTTTTGCACCACCCTCCAGATGCTCTTTTTCTTGCTGCCACATGTTCTCAAATGACAGTTCTGCAGATAAGAAATTTTTACAAATAAACAAGAAAGAGACGGGCTATATATACACCGAACTGTCGAAATTGTTGGGAATCAATGCACAGGACAAGATGGGCAGTATGTTAGAAACAGTCTTTGTTCACCACAATATGGAAGGGAAAAACCACCAAAAAAAAAAAAGGGAGAAAAAAAATTGATTGTTCCTGCCAGTGTGCTCTTTTAGACTTTGTATCGTGAACTTCCACAAAGTGCAGTCGCTGCTGAATCTCTTCTGTGAATCTATTTTGCCACCACCTACACCAAGAGGCTTTTGCCTGGTTGCCTTAAAGCAGCATCATGAATATGGGAGATGAGAGTCCACAAGAAGATGATGGGCACCTCATCGCAAAAGACAGCAGTGCAGAATAAAGTAAGAAAGTTTGAAGAAAGGGGCTTGGGGCGAGTGAAGAAAGAAGAACCCTGAAGGCCACCAGGTTGTGTGTGTATGTGCAGGGCGTATCACACGGCTGCAGTCTGTTTGATGCTGTGGAAGCTGATTCGTGTCGGAGACGTGGGGATAGACATGGCACGTGCCACACGCACTCGGAGGGAGTGATGGTCTTGCCAGCGGTGCCATCGTTTCCTGGCAGCAGAACGGACCTGGTGAAAAAAAACAAAAAGGAAAGGACATGAACACTTAGAATACTCAGGTGTTCTCTGAAAAGGGACATTAGGCAGCTCTGAGACAAATGGTCATACATGTTAAGCCACTGAAAAGTGCAGGGCTTGATTCAACTGCCTGAACGTGGGCATTTAGTTTGCTTGATATTCTTCTGGGTACTGTATTTTGGAAAAAAAGCATGTTTTTTCACCCATGTCATGCCTTATATCCGGTATCTTAAATACACCAGAGCATTTCAAACAGCCATAAATGCCTAAGCTTATGCAATTGAATCAAGTCTTCAAGATGGATGTGCCTGATAGAGGTCTTAGAGAGACCTATCACAGGGGCTGTGGTTGCCCCTGCTTCCCTTGGCGGGAATTACAGGCGAATTACAGATCATCTAACCAAATACTGGTGTTTGCAACACAGACACATGTGAACTAACACCTGAGCTCTTTGTATAAGCAGTGGAGACCTACTCAAGAGAAGGTCATCCTTAAGCGGATGCTTACAAATAGGCCAGATGAATCCTGAACTTCTAGTGCCTGTATATATTTTTTTGTGTGTGTGTATGGGTCAAAGAGCCCAGGAGCTCCAGCTCAAGTATACAAGTATACAAGCGAAGGAAAAACAGGTGATAGGAACCCTGGCCTCAAACAAAATAGAAGGGAAAGCTTAAGATACTCCTAACACAGACTGTAACCAATTCCTGCCAGATCACTGGCAGAGAAGGCAGAAGTGATCTGGAACAAAACATTTAGACCAATTTCTGGATATTCTTGTTGTTGTTCTCTGCTTACTGTAGAAACAAGAGCAATTCAGAGAGTCACAAAATCATAGAATCACAGAATTACAGAACCATTAAGGTTGGAAAAGACCTCTAAGAACATCTAATCTGTCAACCCAACACTATCATTCAGACCTCTAACCTAAGCAGCTAGGCAAGCCTACAAAATCAGGTGAAATGAATCTGGGCCCTGTTTCTTGGACAATCACTGGGTAATTGTACTCATGCCACTTGGAAAGGATGATGATGTTCTGCTGATAATCTCTCAATTTTGTAAAAAGAGCATTTTTACATAGAATCTATATATATCAGGCCTGGGCCTCCTTTGCCAAAGCCACATTTGTTTCGAAGGTGGGGTTATTAATAATGTAATGTAAACATTACACCTCAGCTACTGACCCATAGTTCTCTTCCTCACCAAGAAGAGAACCAGTCAGCATGGTCAAAGGGTATAACTCATCTCCTCCTAAGGCAGATGTCCAAAGTAGGCCAGATACTTTGCTCAGATGAAAAATACCTATTTCCTTTCATTAGCCTAATGAGCCTAGACAACTAGTTCTGCTTTAGATGTCTGGATTGTGAAATTAGCTAAATTTAGACAATATTGGTATCTCACCTTCAATGTTTTTCAATCTTTAATGTACGTATCTTCACTGTGTCCCTCAAAAGCAAAGGAGTGCTCTTATCCCCATTTTACCACTGGCAGAGTATTAATAGTAGTGATGTTGTAGGGTAGACCTCAACATGGATCAGCTACCATGGCAACTGTACAAGGCCTGGGATGAGCTTGTACAGCCTGTATGAAACCCATGCTGGCATAACTTCTCAGCTATCCGCACCTGAGGTAGATCGAGGGCATTCTGGGATTGCAGGGAAGATGGTGTTTCAACAAACTGTCCAAAAGTGCACAGCCACTGCTTTTCTTCATTTCTTTTAAAACTTGGGGCCTGTCTTCAGGTGCAATGGGAAGCCTACTGAAAACATGAGAAACACATCCTTCCCATCCCCACCTCAGACCAGCTCCAACACGCTGTCTAACAGGTGCTCAGATAAGCTGATGAGCTCTAATAGCAGACATATTTCCCACCAAAACCACACGCTGTCAGTATTAGGTCTCCTAGATGAACAGAAATGACGGCCTGATAGTTAAAACATCCAACAGTTCACATGAAGGGAATGGGAAGGAGACATCTACACCCCTCCTCTGAGGATTTCAATCCCCTGATTTCTTGGTGGGCCTTCAGGGACTTAGACAGACCCATAGCTTGTAGCATTACTACTTAGAAACTCTGCAGTGCTGTGATCTGGCACTTAAGAATCCCTTCTCATCACCAGCTTTGTCCATTAATACACTCCATTTCAGGTTTGTGAGTATTAACTTGGAAAATAGTTTTGCAGTTCCTTCTTTGGTCCCTTTTCAGGGGAATCCTGAAACTGAAAAATCTGGTTTTTCTATCAGAGACCTTCTAGAAGGTACAGATTGAGCCAAATAGACCTGAAGATCTCTTCCTTTAGTTGTTTTCTCAACTGTGTGTCATCTGTGTGCAGATGTCTGTAGCAGAGTGAGAAGAGTGCCACACTGGGCTTCTTTCTTTTGATTTTGAACAGTGATTTGTTTCAATATAAAATAGAGTTTGCACTCAGTATGTGGGGCAGACTCTAGAAAAATAAAGGCTGTGAGGGGATGGGACTGCTTGCATAAAGAAGGGGAAGAGTGAACATCTAAGTGAAAGAAGGACTGAAGTTAGAAGACAGCACTGCCAGGAGGAGCATGATCATCATGAATGAATTTGCAATGAGAACAAGAATAATGTGGTTAAACAGTAGTGCAGGGGATTTCTAGAAGGGCATCTCATTACAAAGTAGTAAGGTATAACATGTTTCCAGTAGTTTCAAGATGGGGTTTGGTCAGTTTACAAAATGAGTTGAGATAGTTACATGAGATAGCCAGAGTCAGGATGGGCTGGCTCAGTCAGTAGAAGCCAACCTAGAGTGTTGATGTTCTCTGTATCATCAAACTGACTTCTCTGGCTCATGGAACCCTTCTGTTAAAACGTGAGAAACAATGGAAAGAAGATGCATCATAGTGTTGCACATTTCTGGATGCCCAATCTTTGCAAATCTATTGTGGTTCTACCTGGAGTAGCCAAGAGATACTTGTTTCTGATTCTGGATTTAAGGGTGCATATACACACACACCCAACTGCAAATACATGTGCTGGAGTATGTGCAAGGCGGGGATGTATCTCATCTGAAAGCCTGATGCCTAGTCTCGGCCAATTATTTATGCTATCAATATGGACAAGGGAGAAAGAGAGATGATCCCCATAAGGAGGTGACTTAGATTATGTGGAATTAATAAATCCTTGCACCACCTTGCTCCTTCGAGTACAAAACCAGCTTAGTTACAATGTTGGGCACCTAAGGCAAATGGTGTAAGTAACATGTAAAGTGTCAGATGGGTAACCATTGGCATGAGAAATTGTCCCATGAAGAACATGGGACTTGATCTGCAGAGAGTTGTTGCCTCTTGAATGATCTTTCCCCTCTAGATTGTTAGAAAAAGTTTTTCCCTTTTTTGCTAGAGTGAAATTCATCCTTGTAAAGGGAGCCTGTGAGCCACTTAAGTCCTTCAAAGAGGTGAATTTTTTCATCTTTGGCGCACAAGCAGAGAGTAAATCTCTGTGCACAGCACAGTCCTGCTAAAGACGTTAATAGCAGAGCCGCAGTCCTGTGAGTCGATGTATCTCGGGGACTCCTGCAGCAGCATTTCTCTGGGTCATCAGAAAGGGGAATAACCTGCTGGGCCTTTTTGTGTTTCTGAGCAATTTGTGTGAGCAGGTACTTATTCAGCCAGTGAAGCCAGATTTATCATTTGTGCTGCAAACCAACCAAGTTTAAAAGAGTCACCTGGAGATAAAGACATGAGTCTAAACAAGCAGTTTTCTGATATGGTTTGCCTAAAAGCTTTGAGAAAGGATAAAATGTAGTAACAAAAATGCCGTCTTCTAAAGCTGGAGCCATTCCTAATGGACTGGGCACGTGGAAAAAGACTCTGCACTTCCAGGGCATTTCTTAATGATAATAATTCACTGCAGTTAGGATGTGACCAGACCACAAACAGAAAACTTAAAGCTCAAAGTAATCTCTTACAACTGAACTCTGAAACAAAAGCTAGCCAGATGTGATTGCTATAATAACATGTTAAAAAAAAAGACACACATAAAAGCTATTACACAGCAAAATAATAATAAAAAAAGATAAAGCAAAATAGCAACCCCAAACTTGGTTATTAATCTCCATAATAGCAACTACATCTATCCATTAAGCATTTGTAGAGTCGGCACCATGTGCTAGAGTCAAAATTAGTAAATCTATGACCAGCACTCTCCTGTAATAGCCCAAAGATGTGCACACTTAAAGCTTAACAAGCAGCCTCAGGAATACAAATTATCAGCTTCACCTCTACATAACTTTAGTTGCTTGAGATGACAAATTTCATCCGTGCTGAAAGCTTAGTTATTTGTGTTGACCCTTGGTCTGTCTTTTTCTTGGAAACAGTTACTCTCTCAGAATACCTCTTTTCATTTCTTTGCATACTGTGAATAATCACATCTGTTTCTGAGCATGTTGTCAAATCACATTTACCAAGATATTTATGCCTACAGAGTGTGGGCACTGCTCTCAGCAGGATTGCTTTAGAACAGTCAAGAGAAAGAATTCAGGTGATGGGATGAAGTCAGTGGGTGACAGTTTTTCTTTCCTGATCAGATCATCTCATTGAGGACTTCTCAAATTTTCAGATCACATCTGAAAATCAGTAAAATCCACATCTGATTAAAGAAAATTGCTAAAACCCTCTCCTCCTCAGAAGAACAAAAAGAATGAAAGAGATGGAGAGAAGGATGAAAATGTGCAGAGAGGGTTTGCTTTTGATAAAATAAGCATCAACTTTGTGCTGTTATTACTTATGCTAGACACTGGCTGCTGGCTGACTTCTTGGAGCCATCAGGTAGAAATGAGCTGAAGAAAGAGCCTTTAGGGACATTAAAAATCAGGTTTCGTAAGAAATTTCATGTTTTATTAGCAGAGAAAAAGGAAGCTTGATCCATTTATACAGTGCTCAGAAGAAAGGGGCCCATTCACCTGGGGCTTCTTGATGTAACACTAAATATAACAGTAGTAATGTAGGTAAAAAGGAAGGCTTTG